CCCTCCTCCTCCTCCTCCTCCTCCCTCCTCCTCCTCCTCCCCTCCTCCTGTCACTACTCCTCCTCCCCTCCTCCTCCCCCGCCTCCTCCGCCTCCTCCTCCTCATCCGCCTGTCACTCCTCCTCCCCTCCTCCTCCTCCCCCTTCCTCCTCGCTCCCCTCGTCCTCCTCCTCCTCTCCTCCCTCCTCCTCCTGTCACTTCCTCCTCCTCCTCCTCCTCCTCCTCTCCTTCCTCCTCCTCCTCTGCCTCCTCCTCTACCTCCTCCTCCTCCTCCTCCTCCTTGCTTCCTCCTCCTCCTCCTCCTCCTCCTTCTCCTCCTCCTCCTCCTCCTCCTCCTCCTCCTCCTCCTCCCCCTCCTCCAGGCGGCGGCAACCAGGGCACAGGCCGCCGTGGAAGGGCGGCCCGCCGCAGGCTGCCGTGCGAATCACGGCCTCCCCGCCTGGCTGGGCAGGGGGAGCTCCGGGGAGCCCGGCCGGCCGGGCGGGGGGAGCTCCTCCCCCTCCTCCTTCTCCCCTTCCTCCTCCTCCTCCCCCTCCTCCTCCTCCTCCTCCTCCTCCTCGTCCTCCTCCTCCTCCTCCTCCCTCCTCCTCCTCCTCCTCCTCCTCCTTCTCCAGGCGGCGGCAACCAGGGCCCAGGCCGCCGTGGACGGGCGGCCCGCCGCAGGCTGCCGTGCGAATCACGGCCTCCCCGCCCGGCTGGGCGGGGGGAGCTCCGGGGAGCCCGGCCGGCCGGGCGGGGGGAGCTCCTCCTCCTCCTCCTCCACCGATGCCGCTACCCTGCCCCCCGCTTTTTCCCCTCCTTCGGCCTCCTGGGAGAGGCCCTCGTCGCCACCGCGGGGTTCGCCTGGAGAGCTCCTGGTCCGGCCGCGCCCCCAGGAGAGGTCCGGGGAGCAGCGCATATCGATGCCTCTTGTCCTCGCCGGGAGCAATGCAGGTATCCAGGGGCGCCCGCGGTCCATCCGGGATCCGAAGAGGAACTGTTGCGCTGCACCTTCGGGGGACCTCTCCTGCCCCCGAAAGCGGTGTCCTTTTTTGTGCCCGGCGCGGGCTCGATGCGGACTTGACGCAGGTTTGGCGTGGGTTCGACGCGAGTTCGACGTGGATTCGACGCGGGTCCGACGAATCCGACGTGGAGGCGACACGGATTCGACGCGGGTAGGGGCGCGACGGGACAGACAAGGCCCCCCGAAGAAGATGCAGTAGTTGGTCTGATCAGCGTTCGGGTCGGCCGAGTCCCAGGTGATGCCCCCCGAGTGCTGGCCCGACTCACTGTGGCCCTGAGGCGGCATTTCCATGACTGATCGGTCAGGTCGGTGCTCTGGCTTTGGTGGCACTCGCGCAACCCTCTGGGAGCCCAGCGCCGACATGACTAGTGTTATGTTCCCTACACGTCGTCTTCGGCTGCAGTTCCTACCCACTCTGAGCAAGATCCATTGCCGGCGTCGCCGCGGGCACCGTCCGTTTGGGGCGAGCGCTCCCCGCCCGACAGCGTCCGCTGCCAGTTCGATCTGGCGGCAACAGTCGCTCCTGGGCGTCCCAATCATCATGCTCAGATGTCAGACCAGACGGAGCGGAGGGGGCGGGGCGTCCCTACATCGGGGAAACGTAAGTAGGGGAACAAGAAATGGCATAAACATAAAAACTCGGAGGTCCGCGCGGATTTCTCGGATCGGCGCTGGGGCCCCCTGGCGGCGCCTCCGGCGCCGCCCCTGGCGCGCTCCGCGCGCCAGGGAGGGGGGTCCAGCGCCGATCCGAGAAATCCGCGCGGACCTCCCAGTTTTTATGTTTATGCCACTTGTTGTTCCCCTAGTAAGACTGGAGTAATCTGAAACTCGGGTTTGCCGAATGCTTTTCACGAGCGCGTCCTGGATCTTGACGGTCCGGCTTTCGTGGGATGTCTGCAGCGGGAGCTCGCGTCAAATTTCAGATTGGGTCTCGTTATTTTCATGATGGCCCCGTCAGGCCAACCCGAGTCATACGTCTCCCCGACGGCGCACTCTTTCAGGCGCGCCCTCCGGGTCAGGCTTCTCAGGCCCGGAGGGCGTAATCCTTCCCTGGTCCTCCCTCCCTGCGCCCGCAACGTGTCCGGAGGCCAGGCAGAGGGACGTAGCTCGAGACCCGGCGCTGGCCAGTCCGCCCAGCAGAGGGAGACGAGGCGAGGCGAGACCTCTGACGAAGTCATGAATCAAACAAGCTACCTTTCCCCGGACCTCCACGGCGAGCGCGAGCACACGGAAGTCGGGGGCGACAAAGAGGGGGGTGATGACCAGGGGGGAGTGGATATCATGGCGGGGGCCATGATATCTCCCCAGGCTTCATGGCGCCTCTTCTTATTTCATTACGTCCCTGCCCCCCCCCTGGGCCGCGCACGTGCCGCCGGCCATGATTTGCACCCCCCCCTCTTGGACGCCCCCCTCTTGGCCGCTCCCGAGGGAGCGCACTGCGAGCACATGGAAGGAGTTTGAAGACGTGGGAGGCCTCTGCCGCACTGAGCACCGCGGGGGCCGTGGCAGACCCTCGGGAGAGCTGGGGGCCTTTGGGCCTCTCTTGGGCTTTCCCCGTGGCTCTGCCCGGGTAGGTTTTGATGGGCGTGTCTTCCACCACCACCACCACCACCACCACCACCACCACCACCACCATAAGTTGGATGGGGGGAAGGAGGAGGAGGAGGAGGAGGAGGAGGAGGAGGAGGAGGAGGAGGAAGGAGGACGAAGAGGAGGAGGGGGAGGAGGAGGAGGAGGAGGAGGAGGAGGAGGAGGAGGACGAAGTGGAGGACGAAGAGGAGGAGGAGGAGGAGGAGGAGGAGGAGGAAGGAGGAGGAGGAGGAGGAGGAGGAGGAGGAGCCCCTCCCCCTCCAACTTCTGGTGGTGGTGGTGGACAAAAAGGCCCATCACTCAAGGAGCCGCCACGTGCTCCAGGGACCTCCAGGAGCCGCCACGTGTATCTAGGCTGATGTCGGGCGTGTGCCCCTTCAGGGGGTTTTTCGACGAGCAAAGAACATACTCCCAAATACTCCCAAAAGGTCAAACACTTCTGAAATAATAGTCCCCTGACTATTTACCTAACAGCTCTTGCTGATAGGTTTCTAGTGGTCTCAAAAGAGAGCAGCAGATGACCCCACAGGGGGGTCGGGGCGGGACCCGGACAGGCTGCCGCCGCGGCTGCCGCCGAAGCCGAAATCGCTTGGGACATCCTCGCAAAATCGCTCTTGGTGCTCCCAGAACTCCATTCCCGGGCCACATTTTGGATGCCCGGAGCCAACTGTAGGCCACTTCGTGCTCTTCGACTTCCCAGAACTCCATTCCCGGGCCACATTTTGGATGCCCGGAGCCAACTGTAGGCCACTTCGTGCTCTTCGATTTCCCAGAACTCCATTCCCGGGCCACATTTTGGATGCCCGAGCCAACTGTAGGCCACTTCGTGCTCTTCAAGTTCCCAGAACTCCATTCCTGGGCATGATTTTGAATGCCCGGAGCCAACTGTAGGCCACTTCGTGTTCTTCGAGTTCCCAGAACTCCATTCCCGGGCCACATTTTGAATGCTGAGGCAGGCTGATGCTGAGGCTGAGGCAGGCTGAGGCTGAGGCAGGCTGAGGCTGAGGCCGAGGCTGAAGGCAGACTGAGGCTGAGGCTGAAGCAGACTGAGGCTGAGGCTGAGGCAGGCTGAGGCTGAGGCTGAGGCAGGCTGATGCTGAGGCAGGCTGAGGCTGAGGCTGAGGCTGATGCAGGCTGAGGCTGAGGCAGGCTGAGGCTGAGGCCGAGGCTGAAGGCAGACTGAGGCTGAGGCTGAAGCAGGCTGAGGCTGAGGCTGAGGCAGGCTGAGGCTGAGGCAGGCTGAGGCTGAGGCAGGCTGAGGCTGAGGCTGTGACTGCGACTGCCGTTGCCGCTGCGACTGTCATCGCGAATGCGACTACGACTGCGAGAACAGCAGAATTCTACAACTGGATTTCCATCTGAATCTTAAGGGGAATGCTTTCAGATATGCTTCTACATATCGCTGTTAGGTTGCTTTGCCGGGATAATTTCATATTGTTTTTTGATTATTTTTGGGGCATTTTCGATTTCGTCGAAAATCCCCCTGTAGGGGGACAGGCCCGACTTAAGTCTAGGCTTCCTCGATGGGGTCGGAGTAGATGGGGTCGGAGGATCGCGCCGCGTCGCCGATGCGCGCGATCCGCCGACCCCATCTACTCCAGCGTGCGCGCGGGCCACCGCATGCAACTGCTCATCGCTTTTCGCAGCGGCCCGTCGGTCGGCGAACTCTGCAGGTGTGGCCGTCGGCGCTGCTCCCGCGGACCTGCGGACGGCGGGTGCGCTGCCGGTCCTTCCGTCTCTCGGGTGACCATTGCGCCTGGCGCCGTCCCTGCGCCCCCTGCCGGAAGCTCGTCTCGCCATGCGCCCGCCAGCGATGTGCCCTCGTCTGCGCCCCCCTGGCCCTGCGCTGGCCGCCGCCACCTCCGCGCCGCGACCGCGCAGGTCCTCTCTCTCCCTCTCGCCGCCATCCGCCCTCTCCCCGCGCGCGCTCCCGCGGCTCTCTGCGGGCCGCTCCTGCCTCCCCTCCGCGCCTGTGCCCCTGCTGCCGGCGCCCGTCCTCCTCCAGCCCGCTCGCCACACGCCGCTGCTCCCAGTGGCGGGCGGTTTTTCCAATCCCAGGACTTTCTTGAGGGTCGGGGACGGCGTCGGGGTGGCATGGTGTATACTTCTTTCCCCGTGTTCCTGGGGAAGCAACGAAGAATGTATGCACCGGGATCCCGTATACACCAGGATCCGCTTCCCTGCGAAGGCGTCGGTGTACAGTGCCGTTTTTTATACATGCTCCGCGTGCGGATCATGTATTACATATGTTGGGGTTTAGTATTAAAAACAACGATGAGTTCATGCATGAATCGATTCATGAATTAAGCATGTATTAAAAGTCCTATATGTTTAAACATCCAGTGTATTACAAACTGCCCTGTACGCCCTTGCTCCTCCAGCTGCTCCTTCGCCCCCCAGCGCGGCAGGTTGTGGAGATTCCTAAGGAGATCAGGAAGAACATGACCGACAAGATCAAGAAGGAGGCCGGGCCAGAGACGCAGTGGAGGACATGTCGAGCGACGGGGGACGGGGAGGCCAAACCAGTGATTCGTGTGGGCCCACTGGGCACGGGGGCAAGGAGTTTCTCTAGGACGGCCTCCAAGCGTAAACCGTGAGTTATTCGATATAGAGTACTATGTTTTAGCCAGCGTGGACCCCCAACAGCAACCTATGTGGTGCGATCTATGGTGTGACATCCATGTTGTGCAATCTGTGTTATGCGTTCTATGCGGTGCCCTCTACGTGGTGTAATTTATGTGGTGCGATCTATGTTGTGCAATTGATTTTAACAAACGAGTTGTCCACTCCACTGCTCGCGCAAACATCCCACCCACCCACCCGCAACTTGGTTTGGAAAATCTCTTAAGACCGTGACGGTTGGTACCAAATGGCACTTGGCAACGACAGCGACGCCGACGACGATAGCGACAACGACGACGACGCCGCCGACAACGATTACGACGACACCGACGACGTCTCCAACGACTTCGACGACGCCGACAACGACGACGACGACGACACCGACGACGACGACGACGCCGACGCCGACGACAACGACGACGACGATGACAACGACGACGACGATGACGACGCCGACGACGACGACGACGCCGCCGCCGACGACGACGACGACGACGACGGCGGCGACGACGACGCCGACGTCGACGACGACGAAGACGACGCCGACGCCGACGCCGATGACGACGAAGACGACAACGACGTCGCCAACGAAGACGACGACGAGGGAGGAGGGAGGACGACGACGGCGACAACGACGACAACGACGACAACGACGAGGGAGGAGCGAGGACGGCGACGACGCGAACGACGAAGAAGGAGGAATGACGGCGACGCCGACGACAACGACGAGGGGGGAGGGAAGACGACGACGACGACGACAACGACGACGACGACGACGACTGCGACGAAATAGGAGGGACGACGACGAGACGCCGACGACGGACGGCGACGACGACGAGGGAGGAGGAGGAAGGACGACCACGGCGACAACGACGACGGAAACGACCACGACGCCAAAGAGGACGACGACGACGAACACGAGGAAAGACAGAGGACGACGTAGGCGACGACGACGACGACGCGGGAGGAGGGAGGACGGCGACGACGACGACGTCGACGCAAGAGCGCGCGCGCACGCTTTTCTTGAAAATCCGTGTTGCCAGACCTTGTGTTTTTGTAGATTTTTTGGGCATGCGATTTTGAACTCCTTCCGAAGCCGATGGGTTTTGAAGGATTTCGGCGTACGCGCGCGACGACGCGCGCGTCTGCACTTCGTCCATTTGTTGCAGAGGATTCTCGCGACGGCACACGCGCAAGGGCGTTCGTCAGATTTCGACATGCGCGCGCGAAGCCCGTCTGATATCATTTTGCGAAAATATTTGAAAATTATGGTTTTGTCAAGATTTCGCAAGAGCTCGCGCGTAAGCTTTTTTAGCAAATCAGTGCTGCGAAAGCCTGTGTTGTTTGTATGTGTTTGGGAAACTCGATTGCGAAATCCTTCCTGCCCCGAAGGTTTTTGAAGGATTTCGGCATGCGCGCGCGACGACGCGCGCGCGTGTGCACTTCGCTTTTTTTGCAAGGACTTCGCGAAGAAGTGTTATGTGAAAACACAGCATGTCCCCGCGTATCGTTTTTTTCAAGGGAACCTCACGGGGGTCTATCCTTGCCCCCCTGGGAGAGTGTAAATTCATATTTCGAATGGACATGTGGTCAGAATCGTATATGATTTACATACCCGAAAAAAGGGGGGAATAACGCCTGGGGGGGGGTAGAGTCTATTCTCTTTTTAGAAAGGAGAATCTATGTGGTGCAATTAACTTCTGTTCGCAGTGAGTTGTCCACTCCACTGCTCGCGCAAACATCCCACCCACCCACCCGCAACTTGGTTTGCAACATCTCTTACGACCGTGACGGTTGGTACCAAATTGCACTTGGCAACGACAGCGACGCCGACGACGATTGCGACAACGACGACGACGCCGCCGACAATGAGTACGACGACACCGACGACGTTTCCAACGACTTCGACGACGCCGACGACGACGAAGACGACGACAACGACGACGACGACGCGGACGCCGACGACGATGACGACGACGATGACAACGACGACGACGACGATGACGACGCCGACGACGACGACAACGACGACCCCGACGACGACGACGTCAACGACGCCGACGACGCCGACGACGACGACGACGCCGACGGCAACGACGACGACGACGGCGGCAGCGGCGACGACGACGACATATGGTCAGAATCATTTGTGATGTACATACCCGAAAGGGGGGGCGGATAACGTCCGGGGGGGGGAGTAGAGTCTTCTTTTTTTGAAAGGAGAATCCAGGCCCAGACGACGGGCGGCGCCGAGGAGACGAGGCGGCGACGGGGCGGCGACGGCGAGCACGAAGCCGCCAGACGAGCCCGCAGGCCCAGACGACGGGCGGCGACGCGGCGGCGACGGGGCGGCGACGGCGAGCACGGAGCCGGTAGACTACCCCGCAGGCCAATTTCCAGAGAAAAGAAGTAAGAGCCCCTAGGTGCAAGCAATGTTTGGCGAATGTCTGCAAATCTGGCGCCCTGGGTTCCAAATCAAAACGCTGCCAGTGCGTGATTCGCGCAGCTTCTGTGTTGAATACCACCTTTGCGGAATCGCATGCGTATGGAATCCCGTGCTTGTGGACCGCTATGTGAAGACGAGTGCGAGTAGGTGTGGGGTCATGTAATGGAGTTTCAGTTCGAGTTTTTAGTTGTGAATAAGTTTGCCAGGTCCAGCAAGTCAGAGGGCCCCGCCCACTCCCACCCCCCCCTCCCGCAACATGACCGTCAAATGCGGCATGGCACAGCTTGAGTTGGGATCGGCACGCGTTCCCACTTCGCAAACGAAGCGCGCTCGTGCGCGGCCCCGCTTCCGACGACCTGGCGAAGAGAAGCTTGCGCGGGCCGCGCAGCGGCGGTAACGACAACACTTCCGATGCGCGCGGCGAGGACGAAGCATCCGCCGTGTGGGCACCGCATCGCCCCTTCCACCCACGAGCTGCGCAGCGCTTGGGCGAGGTCCGCATTTCGCCCGCGCCTGCGCGGCCCCGCTGCCGCTGCCGCTTTCGTGCGATATCGGCGCGCGGGCCGTGCGCCGCGCCAGCGCTGGCACGCAGCCTGTGCGGCGCCGAGGCGAGAGGGACATGTTCGTCCGTTCGCGCCTGGTCGTGGTCGCGTGCGAAAAATGCGCGCCGCGCCCAAGGGCGAGCTCAGTCCTCCTGGGAGGCGAGCGCAGCGCCGAGGCGAATGTGCGTCATGGCCCAAATTTGCCACGCATTCGGATAACAACAAACCATGTCGACGCATTGTTTGTTAATGGAATCGGTAACGTTCAATTTCGTGCTGTGTTTAGATGATAGGATTGGGCGCCCCGGGGGTGGTCATTTTCGGCACGCTGGGTGGTACAGCCAGCTCTTCTGCGTCCGCGCATGCTCGCGCGCGCAGCGGCGAGGTAGTTCTGCGCGACCGACTTGGCCGCGGTTGCACTGCCCGCTGGGCTCTTCCCAGCGGGCACTTCAGTGCGAGTCGGTGACCTGGGCGGGCGCGGTATCATGGCGACGTCGACAACGGTATGCGCGATGATGATAGTAGGGATGCTTGTGGCGACGGTGACAACGACTACGGCAAGGCCGGTGACGGCGCCGATGCTGATCGCGCCGACGACGATGACGTCGTCCCCGCGTCGGCGATCAAAGTTTTGAAGGAGTTTGACATGCGCGCGCGGCCGACGCTCGTGAATGGCCCGCGTTGTTTTGACAGGGGTCGTTCTCCCCCCATCACGCGCGCAATGGCGTTCGAATGGGAGGCCCGTTTCGTTTGGCCAGATTTAATGAACACGTTGTACAACGTCTTTCCAGAAGAATCCGCAATCCGCGAACGAACTGCTTGTAATCGTGATTTTGCACAGCCGCGTGATTTCATTGGTTTTCGGGACACTCGGTTTTGAAACCCTTACGGGCTTTTTTTGGCTTAGGACAGGTCTTGGCATGCGCGCGCGACGACGCGCGCGCGTACACTTCGCCCCATCTGTTACAAACGGTTCTTTCGACAACTCGCGCGCAAGCTCGTTCGAACGTTGTCGACTGGCGCGCGACAGGCGCTATTGGTAGCATTTGATGAACATTTTAAACAATATGTTTTTTTTTTTTTTTTTTTTTTTTTTTTTTTTTTTTTTTTTTTTTTAAAAAAAAAAAAAAAAAAAAAAAAAAAAAAAAAAAAAAAAAAAAAAAAAAAAAAAATCGCATGAGCGTGAACGCAGGCGTTTCGTCCGTTTTTTGTTGCTGCTTTTTTCCCTCCCGAAATGTTTTTTTCAAACTTGTGCTTGTTGATCAACGAGTGCGCGCGCATAGTAGTTTTTGTCCATGGGATGTGTGTGGGCACGGTGGGACCTCCTGTTCTGGTATGAGTTCTTGAGTAGGATGGGCGACGAGGCAAAACCATATGTACGTCGCAATATAAATCCGGAGTGCCATGAACTCCGGGGGGGTAGATCCTCATATTTTCCGACCAAAGAGAATTTCTGCCCGTCGCATGTTTGACTCAAACCGTTTTCGCCCAAGTCGGTGCAGCTTATGATCTGCAATCTATGCTATTTGGTGCTATCTATGCGGTGCGCAAAATATGTTGTGCAATCCAGGATGGGTACATTCAGTGTGGGTGGCGACGAGGCGGCGACGGGGCGGCGACGGCGGCAACGTAGTCGCCAGACCGGCACACAGGGCCAAACGACGGGCGGCGATGAGGCAGCGACGGGGTGGGTGGCGACGGCGGCAACATAGCTGCCATACATAACCACATGACGGGCGGCGACGAAACGGCGACGGGGCGGCGATGGCGGCAGCATGGCCCTCACACCCGCGCGCCGGCCCAGACGACGGGCCGCCACCAAACGGCGGCGGGGCGGCGACGGCGGCCACATTGC